GCAGAATCCTTACTGCCCCTCCCACAGCACAACTATCCAATAACAAGGGTGAAAAATCCACTCCTCCCCAATCGAGGAATGGGTGGCAAAGGACAGCAGGGCGCTGGATGTACCTTCTAGCTGGCTGATGCTTGACTGGTTGGCAAACTGGCTGGTAGAAGAGAGGCCACCAACCCCACTGTCAAAACTGGCACTAGTGGCAGCCTGGAACTGGGACTCTGCACTGTGGCTCTTCTTCAGTGGAGTCAGCACTTCCTCCTGGAAAACCATGGACAGTGAGAGTCCGACACAACCAACATGCTCTCCTACCTGCCCTGAAACCCAGAAGGGACACTCACCTCCCGCAGCCCCCCGCACAGCAGGACCAGCTTCTTGGTCTCCTCCTGATGCACCTGTTTGCTGTCCAGCCAGGCAACCTCACTGGAAAGCGAGGGCTTCAGATCCATAGCTTTGTAGAGCCGATCCTCCACACTATTAAATATGACAGCTAGGGAGCGAGGCAAGATCCCACCATCTTTGCTGCTCCCTGGAGGAGAGAGCAGCAGCAAGCTGAGCACTCATACAGGGAGAAATCATCAACCTATCACTGGATAGCAAGGGCTCCTCTTACCCTGGATGGTGTGTGTCTTCCCAGAGTTGGTGATGCCATAGGTGTAAACCAGCCAGTTCTGCCCATGGAGTACATCCTTTAGCACTTCGCCCATCGTTTCATCAAAGAATGCCTTCTGCCCCACCTCTGCCCCAAAGATCTGCAACCACAAACACCACAGGGGAGCAAGGATGACACCACATGGTGGCTTCCCTCCCTTGGCTGAAGCACCCACTGCTATTCCAGTGCTGCCCTTCCCCCCGCTCCCCCTTTGCCAATACCCCTCAAGCCTGACACACAGCCCTATCAGCTATTCCAGTCCCAGCCTTTCCTGAGCACACGCTGCCAGTTATGCTTGATCCAGTACATTTATGGTTACATGTTTCTTTAGAGAGAGAAACAAATCCCGCTAAGGTGGGTTGCATGATCTGGGCCTGAGCACCTACCTGGGTGAAGGTGAATTTATGCACTGCCTGGCCTACCCCCCGTGCAGTGCTCCGCATGGTGAAAGAGTCCTGGGGCGCTCTCAGAAGGAGGGTCTCTGAATTCTCAATGCAGACACAGCCCTGAGGGGTACAAACAAAACTCCATCATCGCAGTGGCTCAGAAGAGAAATCTCCCCCCCACCCGCGACTCCACCACCCAGACACAGCATGAGGTTATGGAATCTCCACTTGCAGCACAACCACCCTGTTCCCGGTGGGTTGGGGAAATGGATTCTTGTATTTTCCACATGCAGCTCCTGCTTGGCCCCAGGCTCTCACCTGATCCTCCTGTTTCTCCAGCTCAGATGGCTTCAGGGGCCGGACTCTCAGATACACCTTCACTTTCCCATTATTGTCCTCAGATGCAGCCTGCAAAACCCCACACAGGTTAGATACATCAGCCACAGGGGAAGTACCAGAAAGTTCTGTAAAATTCAGTGCACCAATGGGAACCATAGCATGCGGCACAGGTAGCTCATAGGACTCATGCCTCAGAAGCTTCTGGGCACTTTACTGGTACCTGCTCCAGCTTCAGCCTCAAGTGCTCCAGAAGTTCAAAAAATAAGCTTGCTCAGGCACATCCACTGGGTTCCCAGGCAGCCACTAGGCAGCTCATCCAGCAGTACTGGAAGTGAGGATCTAGCACAACTCTCACCCCATCAGAGGCACCACCCACACAGATCCCGACTGGGGACAATGATGGCGCCCCGAGCCAGACCATACCATTTAAGCCAGAAGGAGGCACAGGAAGTTGACTGAGCAACTGAATGACTTCCTGACTCATGGGCGTACCAGACCTGACTCTTGTCTGATCCCTGGACTTATTCTGGCTCTGGCCTGTAGAATGGTTTAGATGAAGAAATAAGCAGAAGTTAGGTTTTGGGCCTAAGCATAGAAGAGTATGAGAAAATGAAGTTACTACACTGAGAAAGCTAGAGGTAAGTTGGAGACAAAATGTTATGGGAAAATAAAAGCAAGTGCATGACCCAGGGTTATGTTTTGGTTATAAGGTTTCTGAGAATTATGAATTTATTAAAATGCTATCTATATTGATAGTATGGGAAGGACATTGGTGCAGATGTTAATTTAAATAATGTCTAATAAAAAAAGCCAATAAGGTGATAGAAATAGAATTATGGTAAAGAGCAGTTTAATGTTAATTAGTATTAGAGTATAAAATGAGTAGCCTTGCCAAATTGCAGGGAGCCCCAGTTGTCAAAATGGTACTGTTTGGTTCCAGGATTATAAGGCTGTACTTCCCTGTTAGTGGACTGATACTCATTGATTCACCATTCTATCTTTAAGTGAGAGTATAACAGTATCATTAGTGAAAGTGGTAATTGCATGCGTGTTTGTTAAAAAGAAAATAATTAAGCAAACTTTGGCTGCATAATTCAAAGTGTCACTTAGTGGTCCTCTATTAAATAAGTTTTTGGTAACCAGCTGAGAGGCTTGAACCTGAAAACAGAGTTTGGTTTGATTACACCCTTATCTTAGTCACTTAATATTAATTGGGAACATTTTCATCATAAAGGTTACAAACCCCTGGCTTGGTTCCTGGACTACAACTCCAGCTCTGACCCCTGGTTTGGTTCCCGCTCTGTTGGGCTGATATCTTAACCTGTTGGTGCAGCAAACAAGCCAAAGCTCAATGTGCAGCCCCCTCCGCAAATGAGTCACCCCTAGGTCAGATCTCTGACCCATGAACTAGAGAAAGAGAGCCTAGAGCACTAGACCTGGTGCTGAGACATGAACCAAAGGCTGTAAACCAAAGTCAGACCATTCAAGCAGTATTAAAGCAAATGATTACAGGTTTACTGCCCAATACATAAACTTGGCAAAGCTGCTGCTAGTGTTGCTAAAACATACATTTGTAAGTACTAGGCACTAAATATTTATGTAAATACGTTTCAAAAAGCTAGTACATGTTCATCCCAATCTAGTACTAAAAAGATAGTTTGACAAAATAAAGGTTTTTTTCAAACTATCAGCAACAAGGGGAGATGATAATCATCATGAAGCATGCAAGGTGATACATAAGTTGCTTGTCTCAGTCTATAAATGTCGGGGTACCTCGCCTTAATTCTTTGTTTGGCCAAGGCAGAAGCAAAAATTCCCACTGCTGATTAAGCCACGCTGTGCCATGGGACACTCATGTTAAAGTACTTGTGCAAGTCATTAGAACTGTACCATAAGGGCAATAAACCTGGAAAAGTGCCTTTATCACGGAACTGCGCCTGTGGTCTTTCTCTACAAGAACCAGGGAGGTCTGCTAAATTAGCAGGCTATGCTAGCTGCTAGCAGTGAGAACATCAGAGCTCCAAAAACAAAAGCATTAAGCAGCCTTAACCCACTCACCTGCTGGGATTCCCCCAGGCTTGGGGAAATAGCAGAGAAATCTGATAGCAAATCTTTGCGCAGGCCGGACCCAAACTCCGCAGCTGTGGATTCGAGCAGGGGCGAGGCTGTGATCTCCTCGTCAGAGAGCAGCCCCTGCTGGGAGAGGAGTCCCTGGGCCATGGTCCTCACAGGTGGCTCCGACCAGGAAGGGGAACAGACAAGGTGAGCTCAACTGCATTCCCTGCCCACCCCACTCCCGCTAGCCCCCGCCCCAGCCCCCCCCGCTCCCGCCAGCCCCTGCCCACCGCCCCTCCCCCCAGCCCCCCGCCCCGCCACCCCTGCCCACCCCCCCCCCCCCCCCCCCCCGCTCCCCCACCCCTCCCACCCCCCCCCCCCCCCCCCCCCCCAGCCCACCGCCCCCCCCCCCAGCCCCCCCCCCCCCCTCCCCCCACGCCTCCCCCCACCCCCCTGCCCACCCCCTCCGCCCCCAGCCCCCCCCGCTCCCGCCAGCCCCTGCCCACCGCCCCTCCCCCCAGCCCCCCCGCTCCCGCCAGCCCCTGCCCACCGCCCCAGCCCCCCCTCCGCCCCAGCCCACCGCCCCTCCCCCCAGCCCCCCCCGCTCCCGCCAGCCCCTCCCCCCAGCCTCCCCACGCTCCCGCCAGCCCCTGCCCACCCCCTCCGCCCCAGCCCCCCCATGTTCCCGCCACCCCTGCCCACCGCCCCCCCCCCCCCCCCCACCCCCCCACCCCTCCCACCCCCCTCCCCCACCCCCCCGCCCCCCAGCCCCTGCCCACCCCCCCCCCCCCCCCCCCCCCCCCCCTCCCACCCCCCCCCCCCCCCCCCCCCCCCCCCCCCACCGCCCCCCCCCTCCACCCCCACCCACCCCCCTCCCCCCACCTCCCCACGCTCCCCCACCCCTGCCCACCCCCCTCCGCCCCACCCCCCCCACCTCCCCCAGCCCCTCCCACCCCCCCCCCCACCCCCCCTCCCGCCCCCCTCCCACCCCCCACCCCCCTCCCCCCCCCCACCCCCCTCCCCCACCCCTCCCACCCCCCTCCCCCCACCCCCCCACGCTCCCGCCAGCCCCTCCCACCCCCCTCCCCCCACCCCCCACGCTCCCGCCAGCCCCTGCCCACCACCCCCCCCCAGCCCCCCACGCTCCCGCCAGCCCCTGCCCACCGCCCCTCCCCCAGCCCCCCCACCTCCCCCAGCCCCTCCCACCCCCCCCACGCTCCCGCCAGCCCCTGCCCCCCCCCGCCCCAGCCACGCTCCCGCCAGCCCCTGCCCCCCCTCCGCCCCAGCCCCAGCCCCAGCCCCAGCCCCTGCCCCTTCCCAACACGTCCTCTCGAGGCCCCCCCAGGACCCCCCGGCCCCGCCCGCTCACGGCCCCCCACTCACTTTAGATTTGGGGGCGACTCCGTCCTGCTGCTTGTTCAAACCTCGCGGTCTGCCCGCTTAACCAATCAGAACGCGAGCAGCCCTACCGCCAATCACAGGCTGGGACGGGGCTGAGGGAGTCAGAGCGAGGCTGGGGGCGGGGCAAGGTGACGGCGTTTATTTCCCAGCCGCCCATGGGCGCCCGCAGGCCGGTGAGTGAGTGTTTCCCGGCGAGCTTTGCGCTTGGCTCCACCCCCTTCCCGTGGTGGGGCTGTCGGGGAAAATGGCGGCCGGGACGGGGAGTGAGTGAGGGGCGCGCGGCGGGGAGGTGCCGCCTGCGGGGCTGGGGCCAGGACCGAGGCTGGGGGAATGGGGCGGGGGCTGGGGCTCGGGAGGGGGGCAGACTCGGGGGGCGGGGGCTCTGGAGGGAGGGGGGGCACCCCACTGCAGCACCCTGAGCTTTCCCTTCTGCCTGGCAGAGCACAAGCTGCTGGGCGCCGGCCCCACGGAGCCATGGTCCGTCCGGGAGAAGCTCTGCCTCGCCTCCTCGGTCATGCGGAGTGGGGACCAGAACTGGTAAGCGGCGAGAGCCTCTCCACGGCGAAAATCCGCCTCCCGGGCGCCGGCCCCACGCGCCGCCGCCTCGCTCGCTCGCTCCAGAACCCGACCCGCGGTGGGGCTGGGAGAGCTCACACTGACCAGAGCCCCGGTTCACAAACCTCCTGCTCCAGCCGCAGCGCCTGCAGGGAGAGCGTCTCCTGGAGCTCTTCGCTACAGGGAGAAGGACCCGTCGTGCCTGAGCCGCGGGCCCATGTCCGGGAAGGACTGAAAGCAGAGTAGAGAGGGGTTGAGAATCGAACGACTACCTGTCACGGCAATTGGCTGGATCCATTAACTGTGTCTTTAAAGACTGGTAACTAGGGCTGTCGAGCGATTAAGCACATTAATTGCATGATTAATCGCACTGTTAAGCAATAATAGAATACCCTTTATTTAAATACTCTTGGATGTTTTTTCATTTTCAAATATATTTATTTCAATTACAACAAAATAGGAAGTGTACAGTGCTCACTTTATATTTATTTTTGATGACAAGTATTCGCACTGTAAAAAAACAAAAGCAATCGTATTTTTCAGTTCACCTAATATAAGTCCTGTAGGGCAACCTCTTTATCATGGAAGTTGAACGTACAAATGTAGAATTATGTACAGAAAAAGCTGCATTCAAAAATAAAACAAGGCAAAATTTTAAAGCCTGCAAGTCCACTCAGTCCTACTTGTTCAGCCAATAGCTCAGACAAACAAGTTTGTTTACATTTTTTAGACATAATGCGTCTGCTTCTTGTTTACAATGCCGCCTTAAAGTGAGAACAGGCGTTCTCATGGCACTGTTGCAACTGGCATTGCAAGATATTTACATGCTAAATGCGCTAAATATTCATGTGTCCCTTCATGCTTGAACCACCATTCCAGGGGACATGTGTAGATAAGAAGAGGACAGCATTATCTCCTGTAAATGTAAACAAACTTGTTTGTGTTCGTGATTGGCTGAACAAGAAGTAGGACTGAGTGGACTTGCAGGATTTAAAATTTTGCATTGTTTTATTTTTAAAAGCAGCTTTTTTTATACATAATTCTACATTTGTAAGTTCAACTTCCAGAATAGAGATTGCACTACAGTACTTATATGAGGTGAATTGAAAAACACTACGAATATTTGCACTGTCAAAATGATAAAAGAAATAATCAAAAATAATATATACTTTGATTTCAGTTACAACACAACACAATATATATGAAAATGTAGAGAAACATCCAAAATATTTAACACATTTCAATTGGTATTCTATTATTTAATAGTGTGGTTAAAAATGAGATTAATCATTAATTTTTTTGAGTTAACTGCAATTAATTGACAGCCCTACTTATTACCATAGTTTTTTCCTCGATTGTGCATGTTTTTGCAGAGTGAGTGTAATGTTGTCCTTAGGGTATTATCAGGAGTCTGAAACTCACTTTCTTCCAAAGGAAGCTTTAGTTTGTTTGGAAATGGACAGATCCCTTCAACAGTCCTAGGGCTAAAACTGGACAATTCCCAAGAATGCACTAGCTAACTTATTATTTGTATTACGAAAGTCTCTAGGACCCAAGTCAGGGACCAGCACCCTATTGTGCTAGGTCTTGTACAAAGACAGTACCTTTCCCAAAGAGCTTATACTCTTAAGTACCTAGGAAAGTTCTGTACATTACACATGCTATGGCTAAGTGAGCAGTGAGACAGGCTAGCACCCTTCTGCCATGTGTTTGGTGAGGACAGGAAGGCAAGTTTCCAGTCCTTTACCTGCTCTTTCTTGCAGGGTATCAGTCAGCAGAGCTATCAAACCCTTTGCAGAGCCAGGCCGCCCACCTGACTGGTTCTCTCAGAAGGTAAGATGCTGGCTTTTGAATTTTGGAAAGGGGCTACAACTTGCCAAGACTGGCTTCTGGGGGGTATGGCTGCTTGAAGGTCAGTAACTTGAGATAGCAGGGAAGGAGGTGTTTATCTGGAGGAGATGGGGAATCACTTTTTTAATATTGTCATTTTTCTAGTCCAAATTATGTCCTATGAAGAACTGGTCTTGGTCCAGTTCTAGCCAACCAAATGTCTTTGAGATATTCTTGGCCTGTACCAACTCTGAGAACATCCTGCAGCTGCTCCTCATAACTGTAGTATTTCCCTTCTTAGACGCATACATTATTAGGCTGGGGAATCTGCTTTTCTTTCCTCTGGCAGATCGGTATGGACAGGAGCAGAGAGTGGGAGTGGGAGGAAATCCTGGTACATTGAACCCACTTGCAGTCATAAATGTGACTCCAATGTGTGCAGCTGTGTCCCTCTCCATACCTCTGAGAACACACTCAGTGGGTGATAGATCTTTGAAGAGGGGAGCCCAGTGCCCACATGAGCTTTGCTAATAGAATTGTCTGTGATGACTGTTCTATGTGTGCTCTAACTCCCTTTGTTTTTTCCCTAGCACTGTGCATCTCAGTATTCGGAGCTTTTGGAGACCACAGAGACCCCCAAGTGAGTGCAAAGGATGAGGCACGTGGTTTCTGCAACAGCTCTTGGAGGGCTCAACAGTTTATCTGGCAGTGCATTTGCCCAAACTGTTAAAGGAAGAGCAGGCAGGGACAGGGAAATCTAGATGTGATATCTGGGCAGGGAGGGTGACTGCTGCCAAGGGAGGAACAGCTGGGAAGGAAGCATAGAAATATTCACCTAGAATGCTCTTTCTGTTCATCCAGTTTCCTACTTTAGAGGACTAGACCCTTTCAGATCTAAAAGTTTCTGTAACTGGTTACTGTAACATTTATTCCTGAAATGGTACTGTTCATTCATATATATCACTTCCTGCAACCTTTATAATATAGCGCATTGTGGAGCTCCTGAATTATCTTGGCCAGAATTCTCAGCAAAGCTCCCCAAAGTAGCATTTTATGGTAGTTGCAGTCCACAGTTAGAAAGATAATGTAACATAATGCATCCCAGTAAGGCAGTAATATTAAACAAGGGTGTATTTCATAAAATATATGGCACTGGTGTTGCACCCAAATAGTTTTGTTTTTTATACAAAAAAGTCTTGATCACATGCATTGCCATATAAACCAAAAGCTGTATGCATAAAACTACAGTTCAGAATAAGAGAGGAATCTGGGATTATAGAAGACCAAGCTTTTTCCACTTCTCGCTATATGCTGCTCTTATATGCCCATAGCATTTTGGGATTGTGCAGGGAGGAGCAACTGAACCTCCTGTTCTTTCCATCTATACTAACACTACAACAGTTCAGACTGAAATGTTTCAGTCTGTGCTTGGCATAGGCCCAAGTTCTGAGCTAGGGTGCTTATGCTGGCCCTTAACACCCAATGAAATTAGAGGGAAAACATTTCCTAGTAGTAGCTTTTTTTATGCTACACATAATTAGCATATGGAACTCACTGCACAGGTTACTGAAACAAAGAGTAGAATTCAAGAGCGGGATTGAGCATTTATGGATAGTAAGAATCTTATCTGAAGTTATACTAGCTAGGGTAAAAATTTGACAGGAAGGCAAACCCTCCTGCTTCATGGTATGAATCATCCACTTTTTCTTTGAAGATAGGAAGAAACTAGCCCCGTGATGGGGTTTTCTGCACCTTCTGAAGCATTTGGTGCTGGCCACTGTCAGACAGGTGACCTGGCTTGGTCAGCAGGAGGGTGTTTGAGCAGTGTGAGTTCCAGTATTTTCTCTGGGAAAAGAAGGGGAAGAGGTAAACTGGGGACCAGGTTAGTTGGTAAGGAAGAAGCTAATAGGGCATGGCTGGAGTGGTGGGGTTGTGTGGGCAGCAGATGGTGTTTATAGGAGGACTGGGGGTTCCTGTGGTTGGTGCTTGTATCATTTTCCTGTCCTTGTTCTGTAGGAGAAAACGTGGTGAGAAAGGGGAGGTTGTGGAAACCGTGGAAGATGTCATCGTGCGGAAACTGACAGCAGAACGAGTTGAGGAGTTGAAGAAAGTTATCAAGGAGACACAGGAGAAGTATAGGTACATATTAGAGGGGTCAGGCTCTGGTCTGACTGAAGGGAGTGAGTATAGCAGAGGGAACTGAAGAGTGTACATTGCAGGCTTGGTGTGGAGCTGAGGTGACGCTGTGTCTGTTTGCAGGCAGCTGAAGAAGGATGCAGAGCTGATCCAGGCTGGACACATGGATAGCAGACTGGAGGAGCTGTGCAATGACATTGTGGTGTGGGTTATCTTATTATTTCCCTGTTCCAATTCCCCCTGAGATTGTACTTCTCAGAGCCCTTGGGCTTGGGGATATTCCCCCTTCTCTCTGTCTCTCTTTCAGTCATTGCACTCCCAGGCTTGGGAGGAATAGCTAAGCTGGACAGATGCTCTGGCTTTTAAGGGTTATATTTGGAATGGGAGCGCAAGCCAATATGGAGTGTCTCTTGGAGCTCTCCAGCACTGGCATAAGGAGCCTGGTGCAGGCTTGCAGTGTCCTGTTGGCATCATCTTGGGTGTAGAGCTGAGTGAGACTCCCTGGAATGTCTCTCATTCCCTGACTGAAGCCTGACTACTCCTTTGCTCAGGACAATCGGGCCTTAGCTAGGAGGGACGTCTCATTGACATATGAAGACTATGGAACAGGTGTCTGACCTGCTGGCCCTGGGGGAGGCACCAGATGGCTTTTGGGTCCCGGGGGCATTGTGCCACCAAGTACTTTGTTTGCTTTGTTCAGGAAGAAAAAAATGGAAGAAGAGGAGGCAGAGGTGAAAAGGAAGGCTACAGATGCTGCTTATCAGGGTGAGATGGGACTGTTTGCTTCCCCTACACTCACACACAGGAGCGCTTGTTTATTTAAAAAAAAAAAAAATCTGGGGTGAATTTAAGGCTGGTTAGGATCCAGCCCTGAGAAAGGGAGGAACCTGCAGAGGCCCAGGTAAGAAGAACCTGGATACTCTGCTCTCCTTGGCTCAGGGTTAGGAGGAAGAGGGATGCACGCAATTTTCAACACCATATTGTAAAAGTGCAAAATGAGGAGAGTTGAAAGAGGAACCCATAAAGTAAAAATGCCCCATTAGGCAAGGGGGAGAGCTGGATGCAGTCCTTTGCAGAAAAGGCACCTGAAAGGAAGCAGGAGAATGGCCTGATAAGGAATATTAGAAATGGACCGGGAGTAAGACTCTCATTAGTCATGGAAGATAAAACTTACATTCATGCCTGAAGGTGCAGCAGCAGAAAGATGGGTTAAATATTCAGAACAACTTAGTAGCTTTCGGGACAGTTCAGCCATGGAACCAGTGGTAGGGGAGCTTGTGCAGACCCTGCCACTGGGCAGGTTCAAAGCAGGGATCCATCAGCCATTCATTAGGGATGGCATATGATGGTCAGCCTTGCTGTGGTGCAGGAGTTGAATTAGGTGACTTTGTGGCAATCACTGTAACTGAAGTGGTTGATTTGGTGGTGTCTGCTAGGCGAGAAGCAGAACTGATTCCAAGGAAGTTTCCCAGCTGGAGCCTTGGGGTCTCACTTCCTTTCCATTCTCTTCCAGCTCGTCAGGCAGTTAAGAACCCCCCACGAAGGTTGACCGGTGTGATGGTCCGCTCTCCTGCAGGTTCATCCTCCCCTGGAAGAGACTATGCTCTGGGGGACTTGTCTCAGCAAGCTGTGGAGGAGACCAGCCCAGGGGTAAGGATGCTTCCCCTGGTAAGAGAGAAAGCAGCAGGGACTGGGGAGCTCTGTGCAGCTTGGGAGTGCCCCTTGCCTTATCTTAGTGCTGTAGTATGGCCAGTGTGCAGTATCATCCAGGATACAAATTCCCTTCAGTGTCTGTGATGAGGTAGTGGAGCAGGTATCTGGGGCAAAGGCAGGGAGTGAAAAGGTGAAAGCACATGCCTGGAGCGGTGCAGTGAATGAATGGAGCAGGCCCCTGGGGTGTGCTGGGTCAGTGGCCTTGGGGGAAGGGATAAGTGGGTCTAGTCAGTATGGTGAAGGTGTGGCTTTGAACAGTGTGGTTTTTCTCTTTCTCAGGTAACTCCAGGGACATTGCCCAGCACCCCAGTTGCCTCCTTCATTGGGATCCCTGACACCCCTCCAGGCTCAGCTCCCCTGGATGCCCCCATAACCCCAGTCACTGATGATTCACCCCAGAAAAAGATACTAGGACAGAAAGCAACTCCGCCTCCTTCCCCTCTGCTCTCGGAGTTACTGAAGAAGGGCAGCCTCCTCCCCACAAGCCCCAGGCTGGTATGGAGCACTCTGCTCACATATACAAACATACTGATGAATTTGTGCTTCAGACTCTCGCACTGAATAGGAGAGCTGTAAAGGGCTTGCAAGATCTGGATAGTTTTTGAAGATTCCAGCACAGGGAAAATCCTAAAGCTGTCATTAAACCCTGTGAGCCACAAAGGTGGAACTTTTTCCTTGTGGTACTGTGAATTCAGGACTGAAGAGGTTGGGTAACTCAGGGCTTGTCTTTGCTATCAGCTGCTGCAATCGATGCAACGGTTGTCGATTTAGCAGGTCTAGTGAAGACCCACTAAATCGATGGCAGAGCGCTCTCTGGTCAACCCTGATATTCCACCTCTTGGTAAGCTGACTGGAGAGCTTCTCCTGTTGATGCAGCGTAGTGTGGACACCGCAATAAGTCGACCTAAGCTACGTCAACTTCAGCTACATTATTCACATAGCTGGAGTAGCGTAACTTAGGCCAACTTACCCTGGTAGTGAAGACAAGCCCTCTGAAAGCAAACTGTCCCCTTTGGGACCTGAAGAGTTGGAGTAGCAGACTGCCATTGAGTGACACTGCACTCAGAAGGGAGATCAGAGCAGAACCCCTAGTTAGTCTACTTGGAGGCCTTGTATCTGTATCTGCTTGTCTGCATCTCAGCCCAAAGTTGAATTTTAATTTTCAACAAAAATCAGGTTAACTTATAAGTAGGGAGGTCAAACAAATGCCCTTTATGCAAATAAAAACTGAGACCAGGATTGACAGGTTTGTCCTGTCCTGGACTAGTCCCTCAATGGCTCATGTCCATAGCCTAGACAGTTGTTAAAATAACCACTGTTGCTAACACCAGTTCAACCCTACTGGTGTTAATGATGTTGGGATCCCTAGTATTAGAGGGACAACCAGTTGCTGACACTCTTCAGTAACTTGTTTCTTAGATCTGTTCTGAAAATGGAGTCAGCAGCCATCAGCCTGTCTCCGCTTTGGTTCCTAATGTTAACCTTGGTGGAGCTAAATAGGTGTTAATATGGGAAACTTCTAAAAAACTGTCCCTCATGTAGATGGGTGGCTAGTGAGGCTGAGGACTTCTCACAGGTGCGGAGAAGTTTGGATCACAAAGAAGTGAGAGGCTTAGAGAAAGGGATAGGACCACCTCAATCAGAGAGGCAGGTGTTGCTGCTGCCTCACTTCCAGTCCCCTCCACTTGCAGAAATGCAGTTGGCTGGGGTAACTCTTCCGTGCTGTTCTCTGGAGTTCTCATCCAGCAGAATGCCATCTTAAGGTATGGGGAAAACCGGGTAAGGCGTGTGGCAGTTTAAGTATTACAGGGGGTTTCTTGCATTAACAATGCATTTGGCATCCATTTTCAACTCTGTCATTTGCTCGAGGTTACACAGTGAGCCAGTTACTGCCCCTCTCACTTCCTCAGTTTTCCCATCTGCAAAGTGAGGCTATTTCCCTGCCACTTAAGGGGTTGTGAGATTAAATACTGATATTTGTAAAGCAGTTTGGGATCCTTGGGTAGAGGGTCTAGAGCACAGCAAATAATGCACTCACTCTGACTTCCAAGGCAACAGCCACATGGCATCTGTTTCAAATGATTGTAATCAAATATTTCAACCAGCCATGTTTGTGTGTCAAAGCAAAATGCACCTCAGTCAGAGGCTGGACTGGGTTGAAATGTGCAGAAGAGGCTCTGATTCACAGATTGGTGGATATATTAACGGGGTGCATATCTAGGGGAGAATCAGTGATGTGAACATGTCTCCAGCCCAGGAGCTTCATCTGTGTCCTCCTTTGGCAGGTTGGTGAAAACGAGATGGCAGTGACTTCTGGTCACATGAATAGCTCAGGAGTCCTCCTGGAGGTAGGAGGGGTCCTTCCAGTGCTGCATGGTGGGGAAATGCAGTTGGCATCTGGTGCTGTCCCTGCATCCCCTGCTGCTTCAGGTAACCCACACAGACTCTCTTCATAGTTCTCTCTTCTGGGGCACCTGAGGCTTTGGTCTGCGAAATATAGTTTCATAGACGGTTCTATAATAAACCCTTTTCAGGATGGGTCCAAAGACAGCCAGGCTATCTGCTCATCACAGTCCATTAAGAAATCCATTGACACTTCTTTGGTTTCTTTAAAATGACTCTAATCCTGGCAGAGAACGAAGCTGCAAAAACACTGGATGATAGGAATTGCCAGGCTGGATCAGATCATGGTCTTATAGTCTGGTCTCTTGTCTCTAACAATGGCCAACACCAGAAGCTTCAGGATAGGGAGGATGGTCTAGTAGATAGGAAACCTGGTTCAACTACGGATTTCTTGTAAACTTTGGCAAGTCATTTAATCTGCCCTTTGCCTCAGTTCCGAGGTATTGTGATGGAAAAAAACCCACTAATTATTGTGAGGCATTTGGATATCATGGTGCTGAGGGCCAGGTGAACAGGTAGACACACAGGTGCAAGAATATCTGCAGTGAACAGTTACAGAACAGCCTGTCCATGGGAAGCTTTCTTCCTGCCCTTGGCCAGTTACTGGTTTTCTCCTGCTTTCTGAAGCAGGAGAGGTTATGCCTTTTATACATGTTTTATCCTATCCAATGTGAATGTTCTCTTTCTGCTTTCTGAATGTCTGATCTTTTGAATCCTGCTATCGGAGCTGAAGTGGTTCAGTAAATTTGTGCTGGAAGTAGGATTTAAGATGCATAGCAGCCCTTGAACCAGGAGGCAGCTGTCAGAACTAATTTGCAAAGAGAATCTCTCTTTTATTCTTCCCTCACTCTGATCACTAGGAACTGCATTCCTCCTAGTTCACACCATGTGGCTCTATTTGCGACAAGTTTTTTAAAGAGGGCCCTTAACATCTTTTGCATGAGTGGTGTAGCCTCTGCAGTCTCTTTACACTAAACTCATGGTGTTCCCATAGTCTCTGCATGGTTCTGGCTCAGACTGCATACCTTAGTCATGCATTTCTGACAGTCTACCAGCATGGCTCTCTCTGCCCATAGGTCATTTACAGTACCTTGGGCTCAGGAGGGAGCAGTCAGTCCATGAAGTCTGGTGATTGCATCGGAGAGCTCAATGGCTGTTGCTTCTTGCTCATGTGCTTTTTCCCTGTTGTACTCTGTCAGGTGCTCCTACTCTTTCTCGGCTTCTAGAAGCTGGTCCTGCACAGTTCACCACACCTCTTGCTTCCTTCTCTGCTGTTGCCAGCGAACCTCCAGCTAAACTCCTGCCACCCCCTGTAGAGTCTGTGTCCCAGGCAACCATTGCCATGATGCCCACGCTGTCAGCACCATCCATTGTGCCACCAGCTGCAACTCCAGAAAGCGTAGCGACAGGTGCGTCCCTGAACTACGCACTCATGGGTGGCTTAGTACTTGAAAGCAGCGCTTCCCAAAGGCTCAAACAGAGAGATGTGAGCTGGGGCTTCTACCTCACCTCAGATGCTGGTCCCCAGAAGGGGATGAGGGAGCATGGGCATGTAAAGCTGATTCCTAGATGGGTGGCTGAGCTGGGGTTCCTGAGGAGAGGTGCTGGATGGGGTTTACAAGGGAATATGCTGGGTGGGCTGGCTGCTGGCATGGTGTGCTGGATCATGATACAAGAACTAGGTTCCTGATTTGCATCCATTATTGGGTAGCAAGCAAATTGCCCTGTGTGTCTCTTTATCCTTTTTGGCCATACTGCTGTGGGTGGGCTTGGGCTATGTGAGAGAGGCTGCTGCTCTTTTCCACCTTAATGGTCACTGATGCTGGCAGGCTTTCACCTGACTGGTCTCTGAGTTGTCACTCTCTTATCCTTATCCAGTGAGCCAGTCAGACACTTGTGTTTCCATGGAGGCAGTGTCTGATCCCCACACAGTGACGGTGTCTATGGACAGCAGTGAAATCTCCATGATCATTGATTCCATCAAGAAGGAGTGTCTGGGTACTGATGCTGGCAGTGCTGCTGGGCCTTCCAAAGATCACGGCATGGATGGGAAAGAAGACCTGGATCTCGCTGAGAAGATGGACATTGCAGTCTCCTATACTGGGGAAGAGCTGGACTTTGAAACTGTTGGAGATATTATAGCCATCATTGAGGACAAGGTAAATGTCAAAGCAGGCTGGGAAGCCAACTGCATTTCTCTCCAGGGCCTGGATGTATTTATCTCAGTTGTTACACAGAAGCAGGATTAGGAAGTATTTCTTGCTCATTCAACGATCTTCACCTGCCTATTTCCTCCCTGTCTGTCCAAGTTATTAAGTTCCAGTCCCCTGGCAACCCCCTAGTATGCTGGCAACAGCTGTGTAGTGTGGTGTTGCACTCAGAGGAAACCCTTGGGTTTCAGCTGGCACCAACATTGAATGGGGAACAGATCCCAGACAGACACACATAAGTGCTACTAGCACTATGTAGTCCCGGAAGCCCCATGTTTCTGAGCGTGAAGGCCCCAAGCTCTGCCAAGGAGTCTCCTGGGCCACAAGTACAGGCAGGTGAATCTTATTTCTCCATATCCTTCAGTACTTGACAAGACCAAGGAACCTGGTACTGAGTGGCTAGTAGGGAACCTTAAATCATTGCTAGCAATCTGATGTACTTGGCCCAAAGTGGGAGTTACCCATCTGAAGACGCAATATATGTGGCCTGTCCATGGGTGTCAGGACCTGTTAATGTCTTCTCAGTAATGGCTCTTCCCAGCTCCTTAATACCCCTGTTTTAACAGCCAGCTCATAAGGTTTTGAGAAGCCATGTTAGCATGGGCTGCTGGTGACCCAGCCGTTGGGGGGGCTAGACCCTCCCCTTCTGCCTTCCCCTTCAGGAGCCAGAGCACTCCCACATGGCCCCCAGCGCTGGGCAGCCAGGGGCAAGGCCCCAGAGCACCAGGCCAGGCACAGCCCCAGCCACCCTGAATCCCTGCAGAAGGCAGGCCAGCCAGAGCAGAGTGTTGGGAACCGCAGGAAGAAGGTGCCTGGACCGTGGGTGGGGCCATGTTAGGCTGTTTGGGGAGGCACAGTCTACCCCTACCTATGATACCCGCTGCCCATGCATGCTGGTTTATTGTTTAGGAATTAAACTGATGCAGCCATTGCAGCTTCCTCAGCGCTGGGTCACGGTGGCCCTGGCCTGTTAGATAGAGATGTATTTGGGGTGGGAAGGGCTCTCTGGCTGAACCAGTGCAGGGGTTCTGCTCTCCTTGCTGACCTTTGCTTGTGCTGCTGTCTTTGTTTTGGTAAAGGTAGATGACCATCCTGAAGTCCTGGATGTAGCAGCAGTTGAAGCTGCTTTGTCTTTCTGTGAAGAGACTGATGACCCTCAGGCCTTGACTGGCCCATGGGAGCATCCGATTCAGCAGGACCACGAGAAACGGGCACAGATCCCCCATGTGGCAGTGACTGTGAAGCAGGAGAGGCGAGACTGTGACGAACCAGAGGCAAAGGAAATCCAAGACCTAATAAGCATTGGGGAGCTGGGGTCAGAAATAAAGATGGAATCTGCAGAGCTGGAGCAGAACGAATTGAACTCTGCAGGTGCCATGCAAATAGCAGAAACACCTGAGCTCAGGAGTCGAGAGACAGAGGAGCAGCAGAAAGCAGCTGCTGTTGTGGGAGAGAACTCTGAAACGGAGACAGAATCAGCCAAGGGAGAAGCAGCAACACACAGTACGGTGAAGATAGAGGTACATAGGTGGGGAGGATGTGTTGGACTGGTGTGGTTGAAAGCAGGTAACCGTTGGCAGTCAAGGAAAAGCAGCTCAAACATAGGGGTCCATTCCTTCTCTGGAGATGTCTCTTCAGTGAGTACGCTTGGAGCAGAGTAGTGACTTTCTTTGTGGGTTATGACTATTGCTGTGGGAGAGAGACTGAGGACAAGTATTAATATTTGGTGGCATGGGCCCCTTGGTGAGGGCCTTACATGCTAATTTTTTGGGGGGGAGGGATAGCTCAGTGGTTTGAGCATTGGCCTGCTAAACCCAGGGTTGTGAGTTCAATCCTTGAGGGGGCTGTTTAGGGATCTGGGGCAAAATTGGGGATTGGTCCTGCTTTGAGCAGAGGGTTGGACTAGATAACCTCCTGAGGTCCCTTCCAACCCTGATATTCTATTCTATGATCTTTGAAGCCCTGAATGTATAATAAGTAGATCTTTACGCTGTCTGCTGCCAGTCCATGTGCAGAATTGCTGTTGTCCTGGCATTCTGTGAAAACCCACTGTCTGTCTGGGACTGGGTTTGGGGTAGTGAGATACTTAAATTTGTGCATTTCTGTTCCCTCCAGATACCACCTGATGATGATTCATCCCCTCCACATGTCCTAAATGCAAGTGACGATTCCTCACAGGCTGATGTTCAGCACAAATTTGAGCTGTCAGGTAATTTAACTGGGCTAGGATATCTTTTACCTGCAACTTTAAAGTCCATTCAGCTAGTGTGGTCTGGTTCAGCATGGGGTGAAGATAATCTATGTAGAAATAGGGAATAATTAATTTGGAAGGGGAGGGTACTGGTGCAGGAGGGGATGTTCTAAAAACTGCTCCTGGAAATCAAAATTTTGCTCTGTCTTTTCCTCCCAGAGTCGATGAAGGAAGAGACCCGAGCTGTTTTTGGGAAGGTAAATGGCCTTGAACTACTTGAGTCCAGTGGTTTAAAATGAGTTTGATACCGTTATGTTGCTGCTGCCTCTCAGCTCCCACACAGTGGATAGGAAAACCAGTGGGCGCCGCGTTCTCCGCCCGCGCGTGTGCCCCCCCCCCCCGAGTAGGAGAGGGCGCCAGTATGTATCTGCATCTGATATCTGTAGCTTAGAGGGACTCACTCCAGGCCCTTGTAATACTTTGTGGCAAGGATTTCAGTGTTTGTGCAAATGTCCCTAGAACTGGCTAGCAGCTGTGATACAGGGCTCCACTCTGCTTACTGAAACAGTCATCTTTTGGAGGCGGTGACCCAGGCATTGTTACTGATAGCTGCATTTTGATTAGGTTAAATTGATGGAATTTGATCTTATATCTCAGGATGCTCAGGGTGAAGATGAGGATGAGGATGGTGCCAGTGAGGCTGCCAGTCTGGAGGAACCCAAGGAGGAAGACCAGGGTGAGGGGTACCTATCGGAAATGGATAATGAGCCCCCTGTGAGTGAGAGTGATGATGGCTTCAGTATCCATAATGCACCTTTGCAGTCACACACGCTAGCTGATTCCATCCCCAGCAGCCCTGCCTCCTCGCAGTTGTGAGTATCAGTGAAACCTTCAGCCACCCACAATGCAAATCTCAGTCCATGCTGGGGAAAGAGTATGGGAGTCTCATTTCTGTGTGTTGCTGGCTGATTGGGCCTGTGGTGGAGATCGGCTGCTGATCTGTCTGGCTCCTGTGGTCTCCCTACTCCCAGGAGCATTGTGCAGACAACTCCATCGAGCCAGCTCACAGGAGACAGGTGTGGCTTCCTTTCCTTTGGCTTGCATGGAGCAATGTGGGTAGATCCAGGGCTGACTGAAATTAGGCTGCTGCCGCAGTGCAACATTGGAGCTTGTTGAAGGAAGTCTTGCACCTGGCAATGACCCTGTGCATTTGGCTAGGGGCTCCAGTGCATCCCACTCTGACAGTCCTTTTCTCCTTAGCTCTGTTTGCAGTGAGGACCAGGAAGCGATTCAAGCCCAGAAGATCTGGAAAAAAGCTATTATGCTAGTTTGGAGAGCAGCAGCCAATCACAGGTAAGTGAACTTGATCCTATGTGGACTGGTAGGAAGTCTGGACCTGTGCCCAGCAAGCTGAAGAGGGGAATTATTTGCTCTCCTGTTCCCCAGGTTGGTCTCTACTAGTGCTTGGGTGGGGGACTCTCCACTCCCCACATCTGTCTGGTGGTGGTTGACCAGAAGGGCATCCGTGTATGAAACAAGTGCTTAGTGGTTCTGTCTGGCAGAGCATGCTCCACCCTCAGACCAGGTGTTCTCTCTGTTACCAGCGAGGGGACTGACTGCTCACAGTTGCCTTCTTCTCCCTGCAGATATGCTAATGTCTTCCTACAGCCTGTGACCGATGATATAGCACCAGGCTACCACAGTATTGTGCAGAGGTAAGTGGCCCAGCTGTCGTTGCCGTCAGATTCTGTCTGACATGTCTGTATTGGAGTCTCTGGCAGGGGATTACTAAGCCTCAGCACACAGTCAGATTGCAAGGTGGGAAAAGAAGCTCATTACCATTGTCAGTCAGTGGAAAAAAAGGCTTCCCCAGGACAGGTTCATCTTCATTTACAGAAGAGTCTGTGTTCTCCGATTGGATGGGGTGCACAGAAGTTGTGTTCAGAACAGTGTGTCGGTGGTACAGTAAATGGCTGTTGCCCTCCTGTCCCAACTTAGTCCCTGCTGGCCTTAGTCTGTACGTTTATTTTCATCGTCTAGTCTCGCCTGCACATCGGAGGTCACAGAACCTCATTTACCCACTTCTGTAATGGGCCCATAAATTCTGGCTAAGCTATTTGAGTCCTCAAGTCTTGATTTAAAGACTCCAAGTTACAGAGAATTCACCATTTACTCTAATTCAAACCTGCAAGTGACCCATGCCTCACCCTGCAGAGGGGGGGTGAAACCGCTCAGGGTCTCTGCCAATCTGGGGAAAAATTCCTTCCTACCCCAAATAGGGCAATCACTTAGACCCTGAGCATGTGGCAAGACCTACCAGCCAGACATCTGTTAAAGAATGCTTTGTAGTAATTCAGAGCCCTTCCTCCCCCCCCTCCCTCCCCGCCAGTATGCTGTCTCCAGCCACTGGAGATACTTGCAGTTAGCAATTGCGGATGAGCCATATGCCATTATAGGCAGCCTCCTCATACCATCCCCATGATGGGTTAGCGACACTCCCCCCTACCCCCCCCCCCACGCACCCTTCAGCTCCTTTAAAGAGCTGATCTACTGTCATCTACATCCTGCCAGGCAACTCTCTTCAAATATATTACTAGAACCACCTGCCAGCTCAAGCAGTGCCTCATGCACCATCTGTGGGCTCTGCACTAGCTCCCCTCCCATTAATGCCAGGAGCAAACACCTCTGTTGGGCACCCCACAGTACAGCCCCAGAGTTGCTAAGGATTAACGCTCTCTTTGAAGCCATTCAGAAGATGGCATCTCATCTCGCTTCCTGTCCTGAGTCTAGAACCATTGATGTCAGGGAAGGCCTGTTTGACCATGATGGTGCTAGACAGACTAGCTGGAGTTATTGGACTCCTGACATAGAATCATAGAACCGGGAGGAAGCTCGAGAGGTCACAGAGTCCAGTCCCCTGCACTTGTGGCAGGACTAATTATCTAGACCAAGCTTTTTGGGAAGAGAAGAGTTGTGGAGGATAGACCATGTTAGTTTTTCTTACTGCTGCTTCTAACTGCATTTCATTCACAGGCCAATGGATTTATCTACCATTAAGAAAAATATTGAGAATGGGCTGATCCGAACCACAGCTGAGTTCCAGCGTGACATTATGCTGATGTTCCAGAATGCAGTCATGTATAACAGCTCTGACCATGATGTATACCACATGGCTGTGGAGATGCAGCGAGATGTCTTGGAGCAGATCCAGGTAAAGGCTTGAGCTGAGGGCAGTGTTGGACAGAACTTATGCGCTGGTTGATATGGGAGGTACTGAGCAGGTCTGTAGGAAGAGGCTACTCGGCTCTGAGTGCCTGCTGCTTTTTTGTGCCCTCTAGAATTTCCCACTGGGTTGGCAAGTCCCAGCTGATAGTTAAAGTTAACTTGATGAGTTTGTGTGGCTTTTTTACTCTTCCCTCAGAATGACTTGTAGCTCTTTAGGGCTGGGGGGAGCTTACGATGAGAAGCAAACTAGAAATTGAAATCCCCTCCAAAGTGGTCATGCTCGACCTTATGGTTTGTGGGAGTAATGCCACTAACTGAGCTTGTTTCACTTGATACCATAACTGAATATGTGGTTTCATGCAGCAATTTCTGGCCACGCAGCTGATCATGCAGACATCAGAGTCCGGGATCAGTGCAAAGAGCCTGCGTGGGCGAGATTCCACTCGGAAACAAGATGCTTCAGAGAAGGTGAGGGGAAAAGGAGGCTGGTGATTTATGCTTTTGTGTGAGAGAGGGATTCCTTCAGGAGGATCCTACTGAGCTGCAGAAGAGGGTCACCTAATCAGACCCTGGGGTGCATGAATGCAGTTGGGGTTAAACTAGCTCAGAGATCCTTATGTGAACAAACGTCTCTGGAAATGTGACCTTCAGTTAGAGTTTAGAGGTGGCAGCTGTAGGTTACCACACAGACAACTTTTGTGGATCACCCCAGCAATTGTGATAGTTCTGTCCTTTTGTCTGTATTAAAGTAGTAATCGGAACCTTAAAGAAGCAGGGGGTGGTTTGGAGGAGTCCCTGCTTGGCAGGGAGATTGGGGTGGAGAATCAAGAACTGGAGAAATGCTCCAGTGTCCCTCCCTTGGATGGTCTGGTTTGCCGATTTTTAGATCCAGAAGAGACTGTTGTGATCTAGTCTGATCTCATGTGTAACACAGGCCAGAGAACCTCACCCAATAATTCTTGCATCAAGCTTAACTTGTTGCTGAAGTAATGTGTATCTTAGCTAGGCATCCAGTCTTGATTAAATCATTTCATATGGTAGCAACTGATGTATCCTGTCATCTGGGAGCTACATAGCTGCTGTGGGAAATAGAGGCTGAGTGCACAGAGCTCCAAAATGGTGTTGGGACACAGCAGACCTTGATTGGAAACGACATGGTGGAGTGAAGGGAAATTCCTGACCTAGTGTTCTTGCTGTCACAGAATCCTCACTTCATGGTCCTTCCTTTTCCCCTAATTATTTATTTGTTTCTGTGTGATATCTTGCGGGAGGGAAACTTTCGGGTGCCTGCTTTTCTGCCTTTATGAGCATGCAGGTTGTGTGGCTTCTGTAGGGTGTTTGCATGTTCATATCTGTGCAATCTGATCAGTAAATCTCTTTGGCCTTTTGACAGGACAGCGTCCCCATGGGCTCTCCTGCCTTCCTTCTCTCTCTCTTTGTAAGTATTGAGTGACTGCGGCAGGTAACTGTGAGCTGGAAGGTACTGCTGGCTCCTTGTCTGCGGGATTGTGGCACACTCACAGAATCTGTGGCGTTGTAGCGATGCATTAAACTAGTGGATGTACATCTAGGGTCATCAAATAAGAAACTTCTCAATTCCATTGCCCTCAGGGTGGGGAATGGCTTTTGCCTTTCCTTCTGGTTTGCGGGGTTGCGGCACAGTCATCTACTTCCCTTTTTTCTCCCGTGATTTTTGTCTTAGTTTCTCCCCACGTAAATGGGAAGACAGATCTGTTGTGCTGTTTTTTGTGGAATATGTGGGCCCAGAGAGTCAAAGGTGTTAAAGCAGGGATCCGCAACCTTTCAGAGGTGGTGTGCCAAGTCTTCATTTATTCACTCTAATTTAAGGTTTTGTGTGCCAGTAATACATTTTAACATTTTTAGAAGGTCTCTTTCTATAAGTCTATAATATATAACTAAACTATTGTATGTAAAGTAAATAAGGTTTTTAAAATATTTAAGAAGCTTCATTTAAAATTAAATTTAAAATGCAGAGCCCCCTGGATCAGTGGCCAGGACTCAGGTAGTGTGAGTGCCACTGACAATCAGCTTGCGTGCCGCAGGTTGCCTACCCCTGTGTTAAAGGGACCCTGTCATAGTACAACATTAAACAGTTACACAAGGCTTGGGGTGTAACAGAGACCTTGGCCACCTTAGTTCATTAAAAATCTTTTTAACATTTACTAAAGATGCAATAAAGAAGGAAAAACATGTGAAATATTAGGTAGGGCTGTCAGTTTAACAGTATCCCCTATTCCCTTTCCCTTTAGCACTAGAGCGTTTAAGGAAAACTGCCAGTCTTTTATATGGTATTAAAGAATGGTGGTAATTGTCTTTTAAAGTCCGATCCTGTTTGCTTTGGAACAAGACACATGCGGGGAGAGAGAGAAAAGAACAGCAAAGTCAAGAGGGTCAAATACTCAGATGCTGCGGTGCATGGAGACACTGGTTAGAATAGCTCTGCGATCATTATGTGACCAGCCTCTCTGGAAATGCAGCTTCTGGTGCTGACTCTGACTTGCTGCTTCTCTGCTAGAGAAACACAGGGCCTGCACTTGGCCTTATCACCCATGCCAAAACCTGGCAAACTTGTACCTCTGTTGGACTGTTCAGGGCATTGCTCTTGGCTCCCTTTGATTGCAGTGTTACAAAACACGCAGTCTTCACTGGTGAAGCCAGTCTGTTAAACAAAAGGAGATGGATAGGAAAGAGAAGAAATAAGGTGGGGAAGGATAAGGATACCTGAGGAGAGGAGTGACAAAAGGAACCAAGACCTCCCGTAGCAGGTGGGATTTAGGATTTAGCTGGAGCTGGTGGAGGTCTGTGTAATCTGGATCCCTCTCTCTAGCCAGGTCTGATCAGGACACCCCTCAGGATCAAGATGACACAGACGTAACAGTGGGTTCTAGGAAACGGTGGTGGTGGCAGCAGCCATGATGGTGAAGCGCCAACCAGTCCACTGGTACTTCAGCCAGCTTGATTCTCCCCATTGTCTGTCCTTTTTGAAGGACCCAAGAGGGAGTGATGGGCAGAATAGCTGGTACCCTGGTGGTCTTGTACACCACTTAGGCCTAATTTCCCACACATCAATTTTGATCTATTGATTTCCAGTCCCAAACTCTTGTTTACCAAACATGATGATAATACAGTAGGCCTTTTTGTTTTGACTAATTCAGTCTTTGCCTCAGTTTCATACCTTTTCCTATACTTTTTTTATGGGAGACTGGAACATTTAATAAACTTTATGCACTCTTCCCCAGTTGAGCTCCCCATTGGGATTGGCCTGCTAGACCCCAAATTATTACAATGGGTCAAATGCAGCACTGCAGATTCTTATACACTTCACACCTGTTCATGCATATATAGGAGCCGCCCTCCTCCCATCCAGGACAGTGTGCACTGAGAGCAGGCTACAGGACTGGGGGGATCTGCTCTGATCTTTGTTTCATGGATCCGGAAGCAACCACAGTCCTCTATAGGCACCTCTGCTGTGCCTCTCGGCTCATTTGGGAGAGCCTGGAAAAGCACTTCCTTTCCTGGGAGCTCAGGCCCTTGAGCTGGGAACAGAAGTTTTGAGGGTTTGTTTTCTCACACATCTGTTAGAGATGCTGCCTCTGCTAAAATGCTTGTCAGCCAGAGGGAGAGGGATCCGATGAGAAGAAGCCCTCCAGTTGCCCTGCACTCATGGAGAGTAGCTGTGCGGAGAAGCTAGGGAGCTAGAGCCAGGGTCACCAAGCTGGAGGAACACTTCCTGTAGGGATGAGCAGCTGGTCAGGTATGTTAGCCCACAGTCCCCTCTTCCCACTTGAACAGCTCATCTGGAATGTTTCACATAATAAAAAGCAGCACTGTATTAGCCCCAAAAAGCCTGTCTCTCCAGGTGAGAAGCAGCTGAACTTCTGTCTCTTCCTGCTTTCAGTAGACCATAGAGGCATTGGGATTCTGAGTCCCCAGTGGGACTTCATATATTTAGACCCACATTGACTCTTGTAGGAAGGTCTTCAAGGAAGTCTCCCCTGCCTATCTTACAGCAGACTGCAGTGTACTTCCCTCCCCTAGCTTCCAGTAAGCAGAGAGCTTTGTCTTCCATCTGTGCAGTTTCCCAGTCCCTTGAGTAGGGAAGGAAGCTTTTTCCATCCTTGCTAATACTAGACCTTTTTCCTTTTGTTTGCATCTTGATTAGGATGGGGGAACCCGAGGCCGTCGCTGTGCCATTGAGGCTGACATGAAGATGAAGAAATAAGGCTGTAGGCAGGAGGCAAGGCACTACTTGGCATCTTGAGCCAAGGCGTGAGCACCATGCCTGCCCATCTCACAGAATAGGGGAAGAGCTGAATGCAGGCAGGATTCTTGCTGAGGCCTGTTCCACTGTCCTGGCTCATCTACATGGAAAACAGTGTCCTCTCTGATAAGTGTAAGCTGAAGAAACTTCTCTGGAAAGGAAGAGCAGCCCCCACTGCCTGTTCTAGGGCAGCAGTCTCAGGCCACGTCTGTGTCCCAATGTTAGCTAGCTAGCTGGTGGCTAGGACATACTGTAATGTGAAGTGTACAGATTTTTATTAGTGAAGTGTAAATGTGTATAATAAAGTATGGGTGAGAATCCCAGGGTTTGTGTGTGTGTATAATGTGTTTGTATTGACTCATGTCTGTGTGCATCACTGACCTGTTGAAGGAAATTAAACTGATTTAGAATCATGTACATAGCACTTCTCATATTCATGGATCCTGAAGTACTTTCCAGTTGTTTGCATATACCACCAGCGGCTGAAATGTGGCCACCTCTGGATTGGAGAACAGCATCTAATGCCCAGAATGTTGCACCATAGTGGGGTAGGAAGGAGAGGGAATTCGGACAAGTGCATCAGGATATGACCTTGCTCTTATGAAGAGGACCAGAGGCTCTTTAATCTGCAAGAAGTGTCAGAACCTCAGCATTTTAAAGTCTAATTTGAGACTTACGCACTGTAAATGTACATTCCTCATGTGATCCCATAGGCCGTAAATTCTGCAGGTTTTGTTTTGGACTGTATTTGCTGCTTCCTGAGTTTGCAGTAGGCAGGGGATGGGCTGCTTTACGCACTTACCCACCCTGTACCTTGCACTGTATTTAGTCCTCTCACCCAGGGATGCAGGAGCCAGAGGGCCTGTCTACGCTACCGGCTGGATCGATGGGCAGCGATCGATCCAGTGGGGGTCAATTTATCATGTCTAGTACAAACACGATAAATCAACCGCCAATCGTTCTAGCATCAACTCCAGTACTCCACCTCAACGAGAAGCACAAGGGGACTTGACAGGAGAGCGTCTCCCATCAACACATCTCAGTGAAGACACTGTGGTAAGTAGCTGAAGTCGACGTACATAGATCAATTCCTCCCTTCACCACCACCACCACCCCTCCCCGCCCGAGAGTCAAGAATTTAAAGCCAGAAGACACCACTAGATCATCTAGTCTGGCCACCTGTATTTCACTGGTTACCCCTATATTGAATCAAATTTGTTTCACTAAAGTATAACTTCCAGAAAGGCATCCAATCTTAATTTGAAGACCTGAAGAGAGGGCAAATCTACAACTGTTGTTGGTAGTTCTAATCGTTAATCAACCTCACTGTTAAAATTTGTCTAATCTGAATTTGGCTGCAGTTTCCAGCTACTGGTCCTTTTTATGCCCATCTCTGTCAAATTAGAGTCTTTTAGAATCATGTATTTTCTCCCTTCGAAGGTACTTTTTAGACTAGAATTGTCACCTCTCAATCTTTTTGGTAAACTAAACAAATTTACAGTGAGAGGCAAAGAGCTCAGGCATTTTTCCAGCCCTGAAATAATGTTCGTAGCTCTCTTGTGCATCCTCTACATTTTTTTCAACATCCTTTTTGCAGAGATGGGCACCAGAATTGGCACAGTATTCCAGTATGGGTACCAAAGCCATACATGGAGGCAAGATCTCACAACTACTACTCCCCTGTTGATACATCAGGTATCACATTAGCCCTTCTTGCCACAGCAGTGCAGTGGAAGCTCATGTTTAGTTGCTTGTTACTATGACTCTGAGTCCTTTGCAGAGTGACTACCCTCCAGCATGGTCCCCCGTTTTATAGGTATGGCCTGTATTCTTTGTTCACAGATGTATGACCTTGTACTTGACTGTATTAAAAATGCATTTTCTTTGAATAGGTCCAGCTTACTGAGGTATCTGGATGGGTCTGTTTCACTACCCTGTCGTCATTGTTTACTGCTCTGCCAATCTTTGTGTCATCTATAAAATGGTGATTTTTATATTTGCTTCCAGATCACTGATGAAATGTTGAATAGCATCAGACTTAGTACCAATCCCTGTGGAACCCCAATAGAAACTCCACCAGTCAACTATTTCCTATTGACAACTACTTGTTGAGATCTATTAGAACATAAGAACGGCCATACTGGGTCAGACCAAAGATCCCTCTAGCCCAGTATCCTGTCTTCTGACAGAGGCAATGTGAGGTGCCCCAGAGGGAATGAACAGAACAGGTAATCAAGTGATCCATCCCCTGTTGCCCATTCCCAGCTTCTGGCAAACCGAGCTGAGCAACACCATCCCTGCCTGTCCTGGCTAATAGCCATTGATAGACCTATCCTTCATGAACTTATCTAGTTCTTTTTCGAACCCTGTTATAGTCTTGGCTTTCACAATCCCCTGGCAAGGAGTTCCACAGGTTGACTGTGCATTGTGTGAAGAATAGTTCTTTTGTTTGAAACCTGCTGCCTGTTTGTTTCATTTGGTGACCTCTCCTTCTTGTGTTATGAGAAGGAGTAAATAACACTTCCTTATTTACTTTCTCCACACCAGTCATGGTTTTATAGACCTGTATCATATCCCCCATTAGTCATCTTTTTCAAGATGAAAAGTCTGTCTTATTAATCGCTCCTCATATGGCAGCCATTCCATACCCCTAATCATTTTTGTTGTCCTTGTCTAAAGCTTTTCCAATTCCAATAACGTTTTTGAGATGGGGCGACCACATCTGCACAGAGTATTCAAGATGTGGGTGTACCATGGATTTATATAGAGGCAATATGGTATTTTCTGTCTTATCTTTCCCTTTTTTTAATGATTCCCAACATTCGGTTTGCTTTTTTGACTGCCGCTGCACATTGAGTGGATGTTTTCGGAGAACTATCCACAATGACTCCAAGCTCTGTCTTGCGTAGTAGCAGCCAATTTAGACTCCATCATTTTACAGGTATAGTTGAGATTGTTTTCCAATGTGCATTACTTTGCTTTTATCAACATTGAATTTCATCTGCCATTTTGTTGCCCAATCCCCCAGTTTTGAGATCCTTTTGTAGTTCTTCGCAGTCTGCCTGGGATGTAACTATCTTGAGTAGTTTTGTATCATCTGCAAATTTTGCCACCTCATGGTTTACCCCCTTTTCCAATTCATTTATGAATACGTTGAATAGGACTGGTCCCAGTACAGACCCATGGGGGACATCACTATTTACCCCTTTCCAGTCTGAAAACTGGACATTTATTCCTACCCTTTGTTAACTAGTTAAAAGATAGGAAACAATCCACGAGAGGACCTTCCCTCTTATCCCATGACCGCTTTCTTTGCTTAAGAGCCTTTGCTGAGAGACCTTGTCAAAGGCTTTCTGAAAATCTAAGTACACTATATCCACTGGATCACCCTTGTCCACATGCTTGTTGACCCCCTCAAAGAATTCTAGTAGATTGCCGAGGCATGATTTCCCTTTACAAAAACCATGTTGACTCTTCCTTCATCTGTCTCTGACAATTTTGATCACTATAGTTTCAACCAGTTTGCCCGATACTGAAGTCAGGCTTACTGTCCTGTAATTGCTGGGATCGACTCTGGAGCCCTTTTTAAAAATTGGCGTCACATTAGCTATCCTCCAGTCATTTGGTACAGAAGCTGATTTAAATGGTAGGTTACAAACTACAATTAGTTTGCAGTTTCACATTTGAGTTCCTTCAGAACTCTGGGGTGAATACCAGCTGGTCCTGGTGACTTATTACTGTTTAGTTTATCAATTTAGTCCAAACCCCCCTCTAATGACACCTCAATCTGGGACAGTTCCTCAGATTTGTCACCTAAAAAGAATGGCTCAGTTTTGGGAATCTCCCTCACATCCTCAGCTGGGAAGACCGATGCAAATAATTCATTTCATTTCTCCACAATGGCCTTATTGTCCTTGAGTGCTCCTTTAGCATCTCGATTGTCCAGTAGCCCCACTGTTTGTTTAGCAGGCTTCCTGCTTTTGAGGTACTTCAAAAAGTAATAGCAATTTTTTTTTAGTCTGGTTAGCTGTTCTTCAAATTCTTTTTTGGCCTTCCTAATTATATTTTTACACTGCATTTGCCAGAGTTTATGCTCCTTTCTATTTTCCTCACTAGACTTTAACTTCCACTTTTTAAAGGATGCCTTTTTTTCCTCTGACTGCTTCTTTAACTTTTGTTTAGCCACGGTGGCTCTTCTTTGGTCCTCTTACTATGTTTTTTAATTTGGGGTATACATTTAAGTTGAGCTTCTATTATGGTGTCTTTAAAAAGTTTCCATGCAGCTTGCGGGGATTTCACTTTTAGCACTGTACCTTTTAATTTCTGTTTAACTAACTTCCTCATTTTTGTGTAGTCCCCCTTTCTGAAATTAAATTCTACTGTGTTGGGCTGCTGTGGTGTTTTCCCCACCACAGGGATATTAAATTTAATTATATTATGGTCACTGTTACCAAGCAGTCCAGCTTTAGTCACCTCTTGGACCAGATCCTGTTTGCCACTTAGGACTAAATCAAGAATTGCCTCTCCTCTTGTGGCTTCCAGGGCTAGCTGCTCCAAGAAGCAATCATTTAAGGTGTCAAACTTTATCTCTGCATCCTGTCCTGAGGTGACATGTACCTACTCAATATGGGGACAATTGAAATCCCCCGTTATTGAGGGTTTTTTAATTTTTATTAGCCAGTTCTTACTCCATTTACCATGGGTTTTATTGATATTCAATAGAGCTAATTTTTAATCATTTTTGTACAGTACTAAGGATGTGCCTACATGGGAAAATTGACTGGCATGAGTGTAGTGAAATAATTATACTGTTATAACTCCTTCTGTGGATGCTGTATTGCAGAATAAGAGTGACTCCAGAAAAGAGTAATTACTCTGCCTAAGTCAAAGACCTAATTTAAAAGCCTTACAAAAGTTTAAGGTTATTACATTAACACAGTTACAAGTTTCACTGATAAAGGAAGTAATCTCATCAAAGAATGGAATTTGGTATTACAGGACCTTTTTTCTAGAGAACTAATGGTATTCAGATCTTTCTTCCTCCCCAACCCCCTCCAAAAAAAAATATTTTAGCTGGGATTGATGGGCAAACTGTCCTATAGGTACCCGCATCACCCTACTTGCCCTTTTTGAATAGTGGCACAACAGTAGCTGTCTTCTGGAATTTTCCCTCTATGCCAATATTTATTGGAAAATTAACAATAGTGGGCCAAAAATCTCAGCCAACTCCTTGAGGGTGCAAGTTACCCAGATGTGTTTTAACAATGTTTTTCTTGTAGATAATTGTTTAACATCCTCCTTAATTACTCGTGGACTGGAACTTATT